CTTCCTTCCTTCCTTCCTTCCTTCCTTCCTTCCTTGCATTTTGCCGGGCACTTAAAGCCGGACTAAAGCCGGACTATTCAACGTGCGTTCAGTTCAAATTGGTTGATTATGGGAGTTCTATTAAGCCTGTATTGTATTATTGTTTTTATGTTCCTCTTATTGTTTCTATATTGCTTTGTTGTTCGTGGCTAAGAGTGTTAACTGACTGGGTCAGCCTACAAATACTGTAAATCAATAAGTCATATCTTCCAAGGTTCTTTCTAGGAATGGAGATGCTCAGACCTTTTCTTTCACGTTCTGCAGCATGTAACGTGCATTTGAACTGTAACTTTTTTCACCAACATCCTGGGAGGAAACTTATCGCCACGATAATGAGAACTGAGGGCACTGCAAGAAATACAGCCTAATGCGAAACAACTGCCAATGGGCACCAAGGTTTCTGGGGAGCAATCCCTGACTTAAGGAGAGGCTTTAACAGTTCCTTTAACAGGAACCTTTCTGGTTCCTGTTTTTCCTGGCCAGGAGACAAGTGATGGGCAAAGCAACTGCTTGAGACGCAGGAGCTGGCCAAATATACAATTTGGACACCCTAATCGTGGGCCCACAAGGAGGACCTCTCCTTACCTTTGAAGCAGTACACGTCATACTTGCTCTGTGGATCTGGAAATCCAGTCTGATTGCGGAAGAGGAAGATGGTTTTGACCCCTGGCGCGTTCCCTCCACACTTCTCCCGTGGCGTCACAATAGGGTAGCGCACACTACCGTCTGCCAGCCAGCCTGGGTTGCAATGGTCCAGCCCCTGGTTCCAGGCTGCGTACAGCTGGCCAGTCGTGGCCATCTCTATCCCCAGAGCTTCACACTCAGCTTTGGCCTCCTCCCAAGTGAATTTCTTCGGGGAACTCACCACAAACAGGTCTCCTGCAAGCAGAAACGCAGCAGCTTTTGACGCTTAAAAAAGGAAAAGAACTGGCACTTTTTGTTTATTGAAATACTGATCACACAGAAGTAAAGTTAAATAGCTTTGGAACCAATTTGGCTAAAACTGTCAGAAAAATGTTTCTAGAATTTACTGGGGATGGGGAGGGCAAGGGGAACTGGGTTTTTTTGTAATGTTTCTATTCTTCAAGCAAACTGAATTCAAAAGAAGATATTTTTAGAAGTCTAGCCCACAGCCATGGGATTTTCTGTGGTCTCTCATCCAAGATCAGCTATGGTAAGCTGGGGGCTAACAACAAAATCACTACAGTAAAGTACTGTACAAATCTTTCTTTTCTGACTGTGCTCATTGTGGATCTTAGGATAGGAAGTACCGTAGTCATTCAGCATCACATCCAACCCCCTGGTCAACCCAATTAATCCAAATTAAAGCATCTTTGATAGATGGAAGTCCAGGGCAGATGGGTGTCCAAGCTGTTTTGACACTTTCAGTGAAGGAGAGCCTGCCAACTTTCTGGCTTACTGGCTGCGTCTATTAGATTGAATATTATATATATAAAAAAAAAGTCCTAACGATAAGAGCAAACAGATTTTGATAGTTTTTAAAGAAACGGCAGGCAAAATGAGTGTGTTACATCTTAGGCTTGACATACTTCTGTGATGTAAAAACAGTAAACAAGACATTGAAGGGGATATCGAGTGCGTGGCCAGAAGCTGCATTTGATTACTGGAGTGAATCTCAAGTCAGGCTCTTCCCTTCCCTTGGCAGAAGACAACCCAACAGCCCTGGTTCTAGAAGAAGACTGAACGGAACGGAAGCCACAGACGGCAAAGGGCTTCTGGCAACGAACTGACCGTGCAGTTCTTCAGCGTAGCAGTAGACGTCGTACGTGTCATCCGGATCGACAACGCCGTAATTGCGGACACCTGGAAAGCCATTCATGTCTCCATAACAGGCTTCACGAGGGGTCTGAATGGGGTACCTAGAGATGATCAGAGTGTGGCCACACATTAATGCAAGTCGCTGCCTGCAACAAGGGCAGAAAAGAACCCAAGAGTGCCAAATGGAAACAAGCAGGAGCAAAACCAACCAGCTTGTGTTAAGATGATGACACACGGAGCGGGAAGATTCTGAACCCAGCTCAGCACCGGGCTTGGTGAGGGGCTCAGGTCTGGTGGGCTACTCTCCCTAGTCTGCCTTGGAGAAGGGGAACCAAGAGGTGGCCAGAGGTGCTTGTGGAAAGCTTCCTGGTGCTCTGCTGGGACCACGCAGGATGTCAGCAGAGGCCCCTGGCAGGCGTGGAAGACCCACGTCCCCCACTCTCAGCATGCCCAGTTATGTTTGGAATCGTGCGGTTTTTCCCCTAAGCTCCTGAGAAATAAAGTGTCTGTCTGAACAGAAATTTTGGATTGGGGAAAAAATCCATAAACTTCACGTATTATAGAGCAAATGATTCAGTCCAGCAAACTGAAAACTTTACTTTTTGTTTATTTTGCTGCAATATATTAAGAGGCAAACATAACTCAGTAACAGTAAAATCTAACATTTATTTTGGAGAAATAGTTCCAGGCCAATATGCATGAATACAGTAATTTGGCTACTGCTTCTTTTTAGCCATACACATATTGAAATTGGTTTCTACATAAAGAATATAGAAGTACTTCCCAGGAATTGGTCCTGAAAAAAATGTATAACTTAGAAGCCAGCTAGAGCTTGTTAATGTCTGCAGACCAGAAAGACTTTTCAAAAAGTTAAGAACTGAAAACAAAATTTCAAAATGACAAGGAAAAAATGGAAGAAAAAAAGAAATAATAAAAATTGGAATAGACACACACACACAAGTACAAACGTTTTAAGCACCCCCCTTTAATGTCCCTGTCCAGACAAGGGAATTCCTAGGGGCGGCACCGCTCATCATGCAGACAAAGGGTGCCCCTATCCGAGGAGACGCGCTTTTGGCTGCTGGGCTTTCAAGACGGGATGGTGTTGAGCGCCGTCTCACGCGGATCCCAGCGATTCAGCTAAAGGCGCCTTTTACTTTCCCCACGAACCTGGTAACGAGCAAGCGGAACGGCATCCCTTGGCACCAGGTCACGCGCGTTGGGAAGAAGGGGCACCGCGACACGCCAGCGGCACGCCTGCCTGCCAGCGGCGACGGGGGGTTCGGAATTCCGTCACAGCGCCCGCAAGCCCCGCCCCGCCCCAGCCCCC